GAATCTTTGATTTGTGTCTACCACCTTCTCCAGACTCTGTTCCCCAAAGGTCTGGGGCCAAGCTTGCTTTGCCCACCTATTCTGGCTCTAATGGTCCCTTCAGATGTGCTCTGACAACTTTAACAAGTCCCTTAACCTCCCTGAGGCTTTGTTATTTCACAAGAAAACAAGCTCTTGGCTATATCATGTAATTTCAAGAACAGTTTACATTTGAAAAGAGCATATCCTGGCTGGGCCTGGTGGCTCACCCCTGTAATCCTAGCACTCTTGGAAGGCTGAGGCAGAAAGATGGCTTGGGCTCAGAAGTTCCAATAAGAGTAAGAACCCACCCACCCACCCACCCCAAAAAAAATAGAAAAAAAATTAGCTGGGTGCAGTGGCATACCTGTATTCCCAGCTACTTGAGAGGCTGAGGCTGGAGGATCCGTTGACCCCAGGAGTTTGAGGTTGCTGTGAATTAAGCTGATGCCATGGCTCTCTAGCTTGGAACAACAGGAGACTCTGTCTTCAAAAGAAAGAAAAGAGCATTTCCTGACCTAGCCACCCTCAATGTACAAATAACTTTGCCTCTTTTTCTCCCATTTCACTGATGTAGAAACTGAGAGCCACAGGGGTGTGGGGTTGAATGAAGTCATGGGCATGCTTCATGGCCTGTTTTCTCCTGTTTGAGACCCTTCCCAAGAAGCATAGTCTTTGCTGTTAAGATCCACCCTACACCCAAAGAGGAGGGTGAGAGAAGGTCTTTGGGAACACTCCCTGTGAACTTCCAGCCATTGTGAACTCCTAAAGGGACTCTCAGGGCTTCAATTTGTCCTGTTAAGGGGAGGGAAAGTTTCTTGCCTTCACAGAGCTGGAGCAAGGCTCCTTTGACATCAAGGAGGTACTGTCCCTTGTCTTTTGTGAGTTCCAGCATCAGGGCCTTTCATCTGCTAGTTCCTACAGAGCACTGTTACCTAGCTTTCTCAATGGCCATTCACTTATGTCCTACATCATAGTGCCCTTGGGCCACAGATCTAGTTGCCTAGAACAACAATTTCTGCCTGTAAGAGCTCACAGATGGCTAATAGATAAATAAGTCAATATCATCATTTCTGAGAGGGATGTGTCAGGGAAAGAGAAATATGGTGATGTGATAGGAAATGATAAGTCTTAATTGGGACCACCTGTAAGAGGTGAATGTTGGTTAAGGACCTGAAGAGGCTGAGAGAACCCCACATGGGGAGAGCTAGGGAAACAATGTCTGGGTAGAGGACACAACAGGTTAAGGCCTTGAGCCAGAATGGCGCTTGGAACAGTAAGGAAGTGATATTTGAGTCTCCACTTCCCTTTGTCCCCCAGTGAGGCTAGACCTGGGGGGGTGGGGTTTGGGGCCTGGGAGCCCAGCCTCCTTTCTCTCACTCAGTTCTGTTTCCCTCTCCCCAAAGTAACCATCCCCTAATTCCAAAGCTCAACCAGTGTTGATTCTTTTTCTTTTTTCTTTCTTTTTTTTTAGGCAAGGTCTTCCTCTGTTACTTGGGCTAGAGTGCCCTGGCATCATCTTAGCTCAGCTCACAGGTAACCTCAAATTCTTGGGCTCAAGTGACCCTTCTGCCTCAGCTTCCCAATTACCTAGGACTATAGATGACAACATTATGCCTGGCTAAATTTTTAATTTTTTTTTTTTTGAGACAGTCTCAAGCTGTTGCCCTGGGTAGAGTGCCGTAGAGCTGTGATGCCATGGCACTCTACTCAAGGAGACAGCTTGAGTTTCTCAGGCTTAAGCGATTCTCTTGCCTCAGCCTCCCAAGTAGCTGAGGCTGTCGGTGCCTGCCACAATGCCCAGCTATTTTATTATTATTATTATTATTTTGGTTGGAGTTGTCATTGCTGCTTAGTAGATGCAGGCTGGGTTCGAACCCACCACCCGAGGTGTATGAGGCCAGTGTCCTTGCTGACTGAGCTACAGGCACCACCTAAATTTTTAATTTTTTTTTATAGAAACAAGGTCTCCCTATGTTGGCAAAGCTAGTCTTGAATTCCTGGGCTCAAACAATTCTCCTGGCTTAATCTCCCAAAATGCTAAGATTACAGATGTGAGCCACTATGCTTAGCCCTGATTCTTTCTTTTTTTTTTGAGATAAAGTCTCAAGCTGTCACCCTGTGTAGAGCACTGTGACATTATAGCGCACAGCAACCTCCAAGTCAGGTTCCAAGGGATCCTCTTGCCTCAGTTTTTCTATTTTTTGGTAGAGACAGGGTCTCACTTTTGCTCAGGCTGGTCTCGAACCTGTGAGCTCAATCAATCTACCTGCCTCAGTCTCCCAGAGTGCTAGGATTACAGGTGTGAGGCACCGCACCTGGCCTTAACCCTGATTGTTAAAAATAAAGGCCTTGCATTTTTTTATATTTTAAAATACAAAGTAAGCTGGCGCTGTGGATGATGCCTGTAATCCCAGCTATTTGGGAGGCTGAGGCGGGAGGATCACTTGAGCCTAGAAGTTTGAAGACAGAGAACTATGATGGTGCAAGACCTCATATCTAAAAAATAGTAACAAAGCTTGGGTGGCACCTGTGGCTCAGTGGGTGGGGCGCCAACCCACATACCAAGGGGGGCGGGTTCGAATCCTCCTGGCTGAACTGCAACAACAACGACAAAATAGTCGGGGCTCAGCGCCTGTGGCTCAAGTGGCTAAGGCGCCAGCCACATACACCTAAGGAGGCAGGTTGGAATCCAGACCCAGCCGCCAAACAACAATGATGGCTGCAACCCCAAAATAGCCAGGCGTTGTGGCAGGCGCTGGTGGTCCCAGCTACTTGGGAGGCGGAGGCAGGAGACTCGCTTGAGCCCAGGAGTTAGAGGTTGCTGTGAGCTGTGATGCCAGGGCACTCCATCCAGGGGGACAGTTTGAGGCTCTGTCTCAAAAAAAAAAAAAAAAATAGCCAGATGTTGTGGTGCGCACCTGTAGTCCGGGGGCTGAGGTAAGAGGATCGCCTAAGCTCAGGAGTTGGAGGTTCCTGTGAGCTGTGACGCTACAGCACTCTACAAAGGGCAATAAAGTGAGACACTGTCTCTAAAAATAAATAAATAAAATAAGTAAATAGTAATAAGAGGGCACAGTTGCTCACGCCTGTAATCCTAGTACTCTGGGGGCCGAGGCAGGTGGATTGACTGAACTCGGGAGTTGGAGAACAGCATGGGCATAGTGAGACCTTCATCTCTACCAAAAGTAGAAAAACTAGCCGGGCGTGGTGGCTGGCGCTTGTAGTCCCTGCTACTTGGGAGACTGAGTCAAGAAGATCACGTGAGCCCAGGAGTTTGAAGTTGATGTAAGCTATGACGCCATTGGCACTCTATCCAGGGCGACTGAGACTCTGTCTCAAAAAAAAAAAAAAAGTAATAAATAAATAAAATAAAACAAAGCTAGCGAGCGCGGAAGCTGGTGCTCATGCATGTGGCTTGTTTTCCCCACATTCTGCGAAAAAATCGGAGAGCCACCCAAGTATGAGGCTGGAAGCCCGAGGTTAGGGAGCTAAAGGCTTGTATGCTTTCTCTTCCACCAGGACTTCGGGCCTCTTGCCCTGCAGCTCCAACCAGAGAACTGGGTGGCGGGGAGAGAACACGAGGTGGATTTATTTTTATTTATTTATCTTTTCTGAATTTTTCCCATTTTCCGAAGTGGAGTCGTGATACTTTTATAGTCAAAAGGCGGAGGGAGGGGCAAACATGTTACCCTTAGAATAAATAAATTTCCCAAATGCAAACGAAGTGGGTGAGCGTCCCAGTACTTGCAGGGCGCTGGGGGCGGGCTGCGGGTGGGGGTGGTGGGGGCCGGGAATCAAGGCGCTAAGTTATTCTGGTCTCTCCGCGCCTCCGCAGCTGGCGAGCTTTTTATAAACAGGACGAGTCCCGCCCCACATCCTCAGCCCTGCCTACTAGGGGTGGGGGAGAATGAAAGAGATCAAGACTCTCCTGGGGGCCACAGGCCCCTTGCGGGGTTGGAAGACCCGGAGTTGGGGGGTGGCTGGGGTCTCAGGCTTGTCACCCCCGCTCCAATTTTGACTTTTTCCTTCAAGATTTGGAGGAAAAAACCATAAAGCATCTTAGCTCCTAAAGTCTGCATTCTCTGGGTGTTGTTTCCCCAGCGGAGCGGGAATTGGGGAGGGGGGGGAGTGTCTCCCAGCTCCCAGGTTAGACTTTGAACCTAAGCAAGGAAGGGCTGGTCATTTGGGTATATAGAGGACAGGCTATTTCTCTGCCTCTACTTTGTCATTTCTTCGAATTTTCCACCCGATGACTGGGTGCAGGGCGGGGTGGGAGAGTTCCCAGAGCGTCCATCAGCTCCTTCCCTCTTTTTTGGGAATTGGTGGTTTCTTCTTCTTTTTAACCTCAGGATCAGGGGAGGGATGGAGCCTTTAACAGCCGCCCTCTTTAGGGGTCTTACACCTTAGGAAATGAACAGAGGTCTCTCTTAACCCCTATGTCTTCTTTTTCTTATTTTGTATTTATTTTTAACTCCATAAATGGGGGTGTGCATGTAACATCTCTTGGGGGCCAGTTCTTTTCTGAAATTGGAAATAGGGGGTATTTTAAACGAGGGTCACAGCACCTTGGACAGTGCTATGGCCACAGGAGTCTGGGTTGGTGCGGATGGGGGAGGGAACCCGCAGGGAACCCGCCCCTCAAAGACCCAGGTTCAGCCAAGGCCTCAGCCCCTCGGCCTTTCAACCGCCCGAAAGCCATGGTTGGAGAAGAGGCAAGAGTAGGCAATCGCTGATTGTTGACTGGGCCTGTCGCTTGAGCGCTTAAACCAGTGAGAGGGCGCCAAACAGCCCAGCCTACCTAATGCAGACGAAAGGCGGAGTCAGTGGCTGCAGCGCTACGGTCCCTACCAGACGCACACGCCGGGCCCCGCCCCATTGGCGCGTCAATCTACGCAGAAGCCCCACCCCTCCTGGCTCTGCGTGCGTCTGCGGCCACAGCTCTGTGCGCTGCTCCGCCTCCGGATGGCGTCACGGCTCTGTCTGCATATTGAGGCTCCGCCTCTCCCGCTGCAGGACGTCACCAAGGACTGCAGGGGCCTGAGCCGGTGCCGCCGCCGCTGCCGCCGCCGCGCAGCCCCACATCAGCGCACCGGCGTCATTGCCGCCCCCAAAGAAGTCGCCGCCGCTAGGGTGCATTGGTGAAGGGCAAGGTGAGCTCCCGGGCGGCCCTGTGGGCTCTGACTCTGAGCATCTCCATAACCTTCATTTGACTGGCGAAGGTGGGAGACGAGGTTGACTGGGGATGAATAAGGGGAAGGGTACGGCGGTTTGGGGTCTGGAAAGGGAAAGGGTCTGGTGGCCCTCACCTGCCCTATCCTCACCAATACCTCCTCCACCCGCCGGCTCTGCAGCGGAGGGGGAGGGGTGACGAGTGCCTTGCGGGAAGCTGCGCTCGCGGGAGGTTCTGCGTGCGCGTGCCCGTCGTGTGCACACGAGTGTGCGCGCCTGCCTGTCGGCAGGTCTGTGTATACCCTTGCCATGTAACTGGGTATACTTCTGCGACCCCCTTTGGCCCTCAGCATGTGCATGCTGCAAGCTTGTAGAGGGAGGCGCGTGGACTGTGCGTGTGCGTGCACAGCTTTGAGCATACGTGCACAGGCATCCGTGTCCGTGTGGTGACGTGCACATGCCTGCATGGGTGGAGGGAGCCGTGCCCACGGGTTACGGATGGGTTCGCACATTTCTGTAGGAGGGTCAGTGTGCAGACAGGTGTGTGTGCCTCTGTCCTGTGCACCCATGCAAATTTTGCAGCCTCGTGTGTGTACAAGCGTGTAGAGATGAGTGTGTGTGAGCCTGGTGCACGGGAGCGTGTGTACCCGCTTCCCCTGTCATGTAATGCAGCTGGTAGGCCCAAGTTGTCCCAAGCCTGGGAGTTTGGGGGAAGGGGAGGCTGCCGATGCGCATCCCCGCAGGACCTATATGCGTGTGCACGTGCGCTCCAGCTGCTCAGTTCTGAGGACCTTGAAAGATTGATGGGAGGCGGGGCCCACCGCAGTCACCTCCCTCTGGGCGGAGACATAGGTTTAGGGTTACAGCCAGATCTGGGGTGCAGGCCCATTGTAGGGGTATCTTCATCCGCGACCCTCTGAGCTCCTCCCCTAAAACCTTTCAAGGTCACAGCCTGCTCTCTCCTGAGGGTATAACCAATAATACTGGGGCTCCTGATGAGATAAAAGTATTCTCTATACATGGGTTCCTTTCTGGCACTCTCTCCATTCTGTGACTGGGCTTGAGCTGCTGAGGATGGAGGGAGCCCCCTTGCTCTCTCTTCTTCCCATACCCCCAGATGGCATCTGCCACAGATTCTCGCTATGGGCAGAAGGAGTCCTCGGATCAAAACTTTGATTACATGTTCAAGATCCTTATCATTGGCAATAGCAGCGTGGGCAAGACATCCTTCCTCTTCCGCTACGCCGACGACTCCTTCACACCTGCCTTTGTCAGCACTGTGGGCATCGACTTCAAGGTCAAAACCATCTACCGCAACGACAAGAGGATCAAGCTGCAGATCTGGGTGGGTCCAGCTCCCCTCTTTGGAAAAGCAGTTGCAACGTTTTCTGTCTCTTCCCTGTCTAGAGTCATTAATTTACACACTGGGCATTTATCAGGTGCATACTGTGGACCAAGAGCAAAAGCACAGGCAGCACCCCTGTTCCCTCATAAAGCACCTAATCTCAATGCCTCAGTTTCCCCATCTTCAATCCATGTGAGGCTCTGCATAAGATTTCAGCAGGACTCTTTCCTGGGACAAGTGCAAGCACCTACCCCCAGGTGTCCCAGCCTCCTCCTCAACCCAAAAGAGGCCTGAGTGAGCCCATTAATCTTAAATCAGAACTGTCCCTTCTTACTCTGCTCACTGCCCTTCTATGGCTCCCTTATCATTCAGGGTAAAACCCACACCCCTCTTTTAGCCCAGAAACCCTTGTTTGTTGTGTCCCTGCTGACACCTTCACCCCAGTCTGTCTTCCTCCATCTCCTCCTTAGCTGTCCTTCAGACAGGGCTTTTGCACAGGCTGTGTCCTGCCCTTTCCCTGGGATGCTCCCTGGCCCTCACATGGCTTCCTCCCTCACTGTCTTCAGGTTTTTAAACCTACTCTGATACTCCCTATCCTTATCTAGTTTGATTTTTCTCCTGAATCCTTGTCACTGTCCAACATAGGATATATTACAACTTTGTGGTTATTGTCTGTTTCTTGTTCAGGGCCATTACTTCTGCAAGGGCAGGGCTTTCTGTACATTTTGTTAACAGTTTTGTCTCCAGTGTCCAGCACAGGGAGTGTCCAGGTCATTGGCCAGTACATGTTTGTGGAATGAATGAGGGAACAATTCTGCAAGTAACAGTCACCCTATAGGATGATGGAACACTGATGTACTCAGAATGCAGGTGACCCAGCCTGCTCTTTCTGACTCTTTGTGCCCCTAGGAAAGCTTCTACCTCTCTGTGGGCCTCAAGGTGGCTGACCCAGACCATCTCAGAGCTCATTTCGTCTTTGTGGAGCTTATGTGTGGGTCTTCTCTGACCTTTGTCTCTTCTTCCCTAGGACACAGCAGGGCAGGAGCGGTACCGGACCATCACCACAGCTTACTACCGGGGTGCCATGGGTTTTATTCTTATGTATGACATCACTAATGAGGAATCCTTCAATGCAGTACAGGACTGGTGAGCATGACCCCACCCACTCTCAGACCATCCTCTGAGCTGGGCTTCGTACAAAAAAAGAAAAATGGG